CTTCTGAAATAAAATCAAGACCTGAAAGAGCTTGAGCTGTCTCCTCAAGAATCCAGTTTTCCTTTCATTCAACTTTGACACAATGTTTCTGCCCATTTCTGTTTCTAAAGAGATCTGTTTCCGTATTTTATTTTGTTTTTCCAGACTTTTTTTTTTATTCTAGAGGGAGTCACTGCACTAACAAATGACGTTAATTATTTTGCAACTTCTACCTTAATCATGAACATCGTCCCCAATTGTTCCGAAATGTTCACAGCATTAGCTCAAGGCATGAAAAATCTGTTCCGTTCACCCTGGTCTTTTCAGCTTGGTTAACCCTCATAGCACTCATCTCTGGTTTCGGCAGGTAACCCACTACATTTTCACCATCAATAATTCCACTGCATGCATAATTGATTGGTTAAAATGCACCCCACTTAGCTTGCAGAGGCACTGGTTCATATCTGCCATGATAGTTTGCCAGGAGCAAAACTATCCATTGCACTAACCTGTATTTTTGGCGACTTCCTGTCAGAGCTGTGGTAGTGATGCATTTGTCAGTGGTTGGAGATGTAACCGTACAGCTGCTGATATCCAAGCATGTACCCGAGATGACGTGGAAGTATTTCTCGTGGAACATTTTATTCTATCAATGAATTTAGGATGAAAAGGCAGGAAAACATTTGCTTTTAAATCCGTTACACAGGGCAGTTTGTTGTTAAACCAGTCCCTGTAGATTTTGTGGAAAGAATGGAAGATATCAAACACAATAGCTCGCTGGATTGAGAAATGCTAAATACATATAGGCCATATTAAATTAGAGGCTAAGTATTGCCTCATGGATTTCATTATATTATATCAGAGGCCTTCATTAGATTATCAGCGGGCATTTTGACGTTAGGTTAGGATTTAGGATTGATCGGCCTTTCCCTAATGAAATGTGAGGTTTGTGACCCTCCATGTCAGTGCCTCAGCTCTCTGCAGTGCTGTGCCATTTGCTGCCTATCAGTGTCAGTTGCTCTTCAGCTGGCTGTCAGTGGACAACAAAACCTCTTGTCCCTACAGAGTCCACCTCAGGTATTTACATCTCATCTGTCAGTTTAGATGTCATGCAAAAGGGTGTGACAGAAATTGTAGAAGTTGATGGATAATCAAACTGTTGAAGGTTTGCTAATGCATAAATACATGTGTTGCGGGCCAGTGTGAATGAATATAGTCGTAATATGTCCATCACTACATTGTGCTGGTTGTTCATTTACAACATATAAAACATTAGGTAGTACTTCTTCACAAAATCAGTAGAGTTGATAAATTGTGCTGCTCGTTTTTAAATGATGAGCAAAGGTTGATACAAAACACAAGACATCAGACCGTCAACCTTTCAATGACTGGTCAACCAGCTCTGACACCTGAGAGCCACCTGGGTCACTGTAACATTGTGAACCATCCATTATCTATACACCGCTTAATCCTCATTAAGTTCGCGGGGGGGCTGGAGCCTAT